CGACAAAGGCCTCCCGTGGATATGTGTGTCCTATAACCCACCCACCGAGTAACCAGCGCTTGCGGTGGTTACTAGTCATCTAGATTTGTCGGAACACTGAAAGCAATGGCACGTAGGCTCCCCCAATGGAGAGCCCCTAAGCATTCTGAGATTGGGATGGTTGGGATTCTAACGGGGGGCAGGGTAGGAGAATCAGAACTGCCAGGGGGATCTGTCCAAAGCATTTATTAGATCTCACTTTCAGAAGACATATGAGTTCATGATTATTTTTGATTACATAGTGAGTTTGAGGCAAGCCTGTGCTACCTGAGATCCCATCTCAAAAGAAATGAGGAAAAGAGGAAGGGAGGGGTGTAGGAGGAGACTGCTTGCTCATTTCCCGGCAGCCCAGACTGAATAATCACACAGAAACTATATTAATTACAACACTGTTTGGCCAATAGCTTAGGCATATTTCTAGCTAACTCTTACATCTTGAATGAATCCATTTCTATTAATCTGTGTATCACCATGAGGCTGTCGTCTACCAGTAAAGTTCTGGCATGTCCTCCTTCAGCAGCTACATGGCATCTTTTTGACTCCGCCTACTTTTCTCTATATCTCTGTTCAGATTTCCTGCCTGGCTTTGTTCTGCTAAGCCATTGGCCGAAGCAGCTTTATTCGTTAACCAATGGTAATAAAACATATTCAGAGCTTACAGAGGGGAATCCCACATTAGAGGGGGGGAGGACATAAGGAAGCAGGCTCCATGAGGAATGCCTGTTGTAGAGAGCTGCGTGGAGCCACACCTGATGGTGCTGGCTTCTGCCCTTCGTGATCCCGAAAGAGAGTGCTCTCTGTGATAATCAGCTCCTATTATGGCTAAGGCCTGACTCATGCTATGATCATGCAATGATCGTCAGCTGCTTGCATATGCGTGGACCTATGGGCAGTGCCCACCTGGCAATCCGGGGTTGGCGGCCCATGCCTACTTAAGGGCTGGGAAAGGCTTGCCCGGAGAGAGGGAGAGAGAGAGAGAGAGAGAGAGAGAGAGAGAGAGAGAGAGAGAGAGAGAGAGAGAGAGAGAGAGAGAGAGAGAGAGAGAGAGAGAAGGTCCTGAATAAACTGCTAGCGAGAAGAGCTCTGGTGTTGCGTCTTCCTTGCTGGTCGAGGTGGGCATGACAGCCTGTCAGTGAGGAGGACAGAAAGGTACACTCTGTGTGGGGTGGGCAAGAGCTCTAAGGGTGACGTCTACACAGACACAGTGGCATTGGTGCTGGTGACAGGAGCAGGTGCAGTTCTGCGTTGACAGCCACGTCCGTGGCTCTGCAGTGAGAATACTGGTAACCTCAAGTTAGTTCTGCAACGTAGCCTGGGCACTGTGCCTGGAGGCTCGGTTGCAGGTGGTTCTGAGTTACCTACTGTTCTGTAAGGAGTGCTTTTTTCTGTGCAAACTAACTGCAGGAGGTTTTTGCTATATGTCATGAAGAATTATCTGACCCAGTAAGCAGGACTAAGCAATGAAGGCGGTCTGTATCCAGACGAACTATAGTTATAGATGCTTGGTATTTAAAGTGTATGTCATCATACACGGATCCCCCCCGGAAGGGAAGTAGACAAGATCTCCTCAGTAAATTGGCATGTGGGGGGAGGAGAAGGGTCATAGGGGGGGAAGGAGGGGAGAAGGGGAGTAGGGAGCAGAGCGTGAGGAATTGGAAAGGGTGAGTTGGGTAAAGGACAGAGGAGAGTAAAGAGATACCTTGAAAGAGGGAGCTATTATGGGGTTAGCGAGAAACCACAGACTAGGGAAATTCCCAGGAATCCACAAGGATGACCCCAGCTAAGAATCTAAGCAATAGTGGAGAGGGTGTCTTAACTGCCCCTCCTGGTAATCAGACTATGGCTACCTTAATTATCACAGACCCTTCATCGACTGATGGAAGCAGATGCAGAGATCAACAGCTAAGCACTGGGGTCAAACTCCTGGAGTCCAGTCATAGAGAGGGAGGAGCAGTATTATGAGCAAAAGGGGTCAGGACCATGAAGTGGAAATCCACAGAACAGCTAAGCTGAGCAAGTGGAAGCTCACTGACCCTGGACTGACAGCTGGGGAACCTGCATAAGACTGAACTAGACCCTCTGAATGTGGGTGACAGTTGTGTGACCTGGGCAGTTTGTGGGGCCACCAGCAGTGGAACCAGTATTTATCCCTAGTGCATAGGTAGTAGGTAGGAGCCTACTACCTATGGAGGGACACCTTGCTCAGGGTATATGGGGGGGGGGGCCTTGGTCCTGCCTCAAATGATATGACAGAATTTGCTGACTCTCCATGGGAGGCCTCACTCTCTGAGGAGTGGATGGGGGTGGTGGGGAGAAGGTGGGGGAGCGGGAGGGAAGGAGGGAGAGGGAACTGGGATTGGTATTTAAAATAAGATTATTTCTAAATAAATACTAAACAAACAAAGTGTGTGTCATGACCAGTGGCACCAAGGACTTGGTAACAAATACATCATTTGGAGGTTGGGGCTGTAGTTGTAAAGTCCTGAATTTGGTTCCCAGCAATACATCAAGCAGGTATACTGTCATATGCCTGTAACCTTTGACTCGGGAGGTGAGGGCAGGAGGACAAATTCAAGTTTAGCGGGGCGGTGGTGGCGCAGACCTTTAATCCCAGCACTTGGGAGGCAGAGGCAGGCAAAAAGTTCAAGTTCATCCTCAGCTACACAGCAAGTTTGAGGTTAGCAGAGGACACATGAAAACCACCTCAAAAACAAAATAAAACCAACTAAAAAAGAAGCACACACATAAAAAAATGAGTATTTCTATAAACTGGTATGGAATAACTTCCAGAAGATAGTAAATAGATATATTGAACTGAAGAATATAGTAGAATTGCAGAACAGAGCACACACGAGTTCTAGAACAATCCAGGCTATAATGTCTCAAAAATAAACAAAAAAGGGATATAAATTAGTAACAATGAAAAGAAAGCAAGAATTGAAAGCAGATTGCACATAATGAAATCAATTTTATTTCGAATTTGCTCCACAGCTACACTACAATTTTGTAAAGAATAAAGCCCACTAACTGAACACAGGATTTGACCCTGTACACTCAGCTGAGGGCAGAGGATGTGGTGGGGAGAAAAGAGAATCAACGAATCCTAAACTGTTTTTTTGTTGGTGTGGGGTTACTTACTCTTATGAGGCAGGGTCTGTGTGGACCTGGCTGTCCTAGAACTCACTATGTAGAACAGGCTGGCCTTCAACTCACATATATCCACCTGCCTCTGCCTCTGCCTCCCAAATACTGCAATTAAAAATGTGCTCCACCAAAGCCTAGCTTAAACTTTTTTTTTTTTCCTTTTGAGACAGGGTTTCTCTGTGTAGCCCTGGCTTTCCTAGAACTCTCTCTGTAGACCAGGCTGGCCTCACACTCAAGAAATCCTCCTGCCTCTGCCTCTGGGGTGCTGGGACTGAAGGTATGCACCACCACTGCCAAGCCTTAAACTCTTAAGACTAAAACTTTTACTAGCATTGTGCTGTGTGTGGGTGAGCGTGGCAGGAATGCAGAGGTCAGAGGACAGCTCTGTGGAGTAGGTTCTCTCCTTCTGCCTGTGTCTGGGGCCAGGGTTGTGCAGGAAGCACCCTTACCCCAAGCTATCTCACTAGCCCTAAACTCTTAAATAGCTGTTGTGCCTAATAGTACACAGGAAGCCGTTCGGGAACTTTTTAGGAAGAGAGGATTGAGTTTATATGCTGATATAGTTAGAAGCCAGGAGTCTTAGAGGAAGAAATACGAACGTATGGAATGGGAGGGGAATCAGGTGCAGTACTATATACATGTGCAAAATTCAGGATCTGGAAAGCTGAGGCACGACTACAAGCTTGAAGCCAACCTGGACTAAATTGTGAGACCCTGGCTCAGTGAACAAAAAGAAAACACTAAATGTGTAAGGGAGCTGGAGAGATGGCCCAGCACTTAAGAGCATGTGAGTTTGGCTCCCAGCAACCATGCCAGGTGGCTCAAAACCACCAACTCTGGCTTAAAGGGGTCCAACGCCCTCTTCCTCCGATGCCCTCTTCTGGCCTCCACGAACACTACAATCATGTGCACACAGGCAGACACACAAATAAAAATGAATCTTAAGCAGAAAAAAGCCGATACTATCTTTTACCAGCGATGATGTCAAGACCCTGACCTTGACCTTTAGCACCATTCATTACTAATAGAAATTAAAACTGCTTCACTGGGCAGTGGTGGCGCATGCCTTTAAACACAGCACTAGGGAGGCAGAGGTAGGTGAGCTCTGTGAGTTCAAGGCCAGCCTGGTCTATAAGAGCAAGTTCCAGGAGAGCTAGGGCTGGCTGTTACGCGGAGAAACCCAGTCTAGAAAAACCAAAACAACAACAAAAGAATTAGAAATTAAACTGTTAATTTGAACTTCTTTAAAGAAGTAATTTAATCCACAGCTGGCAAGATACACATCTGGTTCGATCAAAGAGACTTTTAAAAGGACGAGGTTATGACACAAGGACCCAGGAGATATCTTAAAGTGGTTTCTACTAACAAATCTGAGGCAATTTGAACACCAAGATAATTTAAGAGAATTTTTTTTTAAGCTAGAGTCTTGTGTAGACCAGACTAGTCTCAAACACACAGTTCAGCTAAGGATGACCTTCTGAACATCAAATGCACACCATGGCATCCCCCACACACATAACAAATAAATAAATGTAATTTACAAAAAACAAAAGCTAAGAAAGCCAGATGTGGTGGCATGCATTTGCAATGCCAGAACTCCAGCGGCACTGGCCAGTAGACTGAGTGCTGAGCTCTGGGCCAGTGTGACACAGACAAAAAAACAAGGTGAAAGGTCCCCGAGGAACAGCACCTAAGGCTGTCCCCAAGGAACAGCACCTAAGGCTGTCCTCTGGCTTCCACATACACACATATACAAGTGCACACTCTCACAAGCGCTGTGCACACACACACACTAATTCAAGTAAATAAAACGTACATTTATTTTTACATCACCTGCTTTTATTCTTTATCACATTTTATAAATTTGTTTGCACATATTTTGAAAGGTAAACAAAAAAGAGACACCCCTATCTGATGCTCCCCCCAGCCTGGCATACCCCTAGTTGAGGCTCCTCAGCCTCGTCCACTCCGGGCCGATCATCCCTCCTAGTCTTGGGCACTTCCAGTACGGAACCAACCAATCCAGCAGGCCTAGGCCACCTGAGAACAGCCCAGCAGCTCTGGGGATCTGCAGACACATGCCAGCTTCTCCTAAACCAGCCCTTGAGATCAACTGCAGCTCCCTCTTGTGACCTTGCTCACTGCTGCTGACTTCCACCATGCTTTCCTTCAGCAGCTCTGGCATTGTGTGCCTTGCCCTTGGCCCTGACTCCCTGGCTCCCCTATGACTCAGCATTGGCTCCTTGCCCCAAAACCCCACCCTGCCAATGCATGCTCTGGTCCTCCTCTCTGAGGCTCTCACTGGGAAAGAACTGGAATATTTCACCCCAAATCTCCCAGGTTTCCAGGCCCTTCCAGCCTGCCCTGCAAAAGGACAACTTGGAGCTTCTAATTCTGTGAACACAATTTCTGACCCCAAATATGAGACAGGACACCAAAGACATGTAGATGAATAATGAGGCTTTAAGCAGGAATAGCTGCTGCTCTAGCCAGGAACTGACTACAGAATAAGGAACCTAACTACCCAGCCCCAAGATTGCCTGCTCTTCCCTGGTGCTGGGTAGTTTTATGGCAACTCATTACAAGTAGAAGAAGGAACTCCAGCTGAGAAAAAAACCTCCATAAAATTGGTCTGTGTGAAAATGCAGTGCATTTTCTTAATTACTAATTGATGTGGGGGGGGGACACAGCTCATTTTTGAGTGGCGCCATCTCTGGGATGAGGGTCCTGGGTAATACAGAGATACAGATAGATATGCAGGCTGAGCAAACCAGGAGGGACAACTGGTAAGCAGTGTTCCTCCATGATTCAGTTCCTGCCTGACTTCAGCAGTGATGGTCTGGAAGTATAAGTTGCTTTTGGTCAAGGTACTGGTCATAGCAATAGAAACTAGCTGGGCATTGGTGGCGCACACCTTTAATCCCACCTTGGGAGGCAGAGGCAAGCAAATCTCTATTGAGGCCAGCTTGGTCTACATAAAAAGTTCCAGGACAGTCAGGGCTACAAAGAGAAACCCCTATCTCCAAAAGCAACAAACACATCCTAATTAAAACAACCCCTTTTATTTGCTCAGAAATATTCAGGAACCCAAGGAAGAAAGATCAGTAAAAGGATTGCTCAACCAAGGATGGTGATGCAGCCCTAGAGCAGCGACTTGCTGGAGCCGGAGGATTAGGAGCTGTGTGCTTAGCCTGTCTGGAAAAGAGAGAGGGCAAGGGATGGAGTTCAGCAGTACAACTAGCCTAGACTCCATCAGGGAAGGACTGGAGAGAGTCACTCAGTGGGAGAGTGTTTGCTTAGAATCCTCCAGTGAGGAGCCAAAATTGTGGCTCAGCAGGAGAGCTTTATCTAGGATTGCCCATTGTTTCTGGGAGCGTGACTCAGTAGCATGTTGGGCATGGATGAGACCCGAGGCTCAACTCCCAGTTAATAAATACACATTTAAAAAGGAGAACCAGGCTTGATTAGGAGGCCTGATGATCCAGTCTGTGGAGTCTATGTCTGGAGCAGATAGTCCTGGAGTGTGTACCCCACTTTTGCTGCTTATGGCTCTAATTCCTCAGGCCAATGCTTCTTTCTGCTGGCAACTTCAGGGTCTCCATCTGTGACTCAGGAACAACTTCCATACTAGAGACTTTTTTGTTGTTGTTTTTTGTTTGTTTGTTTGTTTTTTGTTTTTCGAGACAGGGTTTCTCTGTAGCTTTGGAGCCTGTCCTGGAACTAGCTCTTGTAGACCAGGCTGGCCTCGAACTCACAGAGATCCACCTGCCTCTGCCTCCCGAGTGCTGGGCTAGAGACTTTTTTGTAAGCAAAGCCTGACAACAGCAATTTAAGGGAGTTTGTCTATTTCAGCTCATGGTTTCAGAGGTGTCAGTGTGTGGTTATAGGGTGGGTTGTGTTCCTAGGCCTACAGTGAGAGAGAGCATCATGGTGGTGGGGGCACAGGCAGCAAACAGAAAGCAAAGAGGAGAGAAATAGCAGGAAGAGGACAGGTCACTACAGCCACCAAGGCATGTTCCTTCTCACCTACCTCCTCCAATCAGATAGGAATTTCTACCTGCCTCAACAATCCATTCTAATCCCTTAAGCGACTGGGTCTAGCTCGGTCTTCATGATCTATCTCTGGGAAACAAAATAACAATAGCAAGCAGAAGTCTTCAGAAGGCTGGCAAACCTGGTCCTGATGTTCCTCGGCGGGCAACTGAGGACACTGACAGTGACTCTGTGGCCAAGAAAACAACTAAAGACCCAGAAATGAATTTATGGCAAAGAATGTATTTCTGTGGATAAGAAGGTGTGTTTCTTTATCAAGGTTCATCATGGTTGTCACAGCAGATCAGCTGGCTGGAAGAAGGGTGAAGAGGAGGGCTGGAGATATGAAGTTGTCCTCAGGGAGAGCCACTGCTCCACTCCTCTGAAGGACAAATACACATGAAGACATCTCCAGACCCAGCAGTGAAGATACTTGGTAGAGAATCTTTGCCTCCTGGACTTCCTCCCAAGGACAGGAGTGAGGACAGCAGTGAAGAGAATTGCGCTAATGTTCTTGTAGAACAACTAGTTCCCCTGCCGCAGGAACTAAGACAAAGGGAGACTGAAGGCGACAGAACATTCAACCGTCCATCTGCAGCCTCCCTGAAGAAGAACAGGCCAGCTAGTCACCACACAGGATTCATTTCTTAACCAGTACCGCGGGGAAAGACTGAAGGAGAAGATGAAAGAAGGTACTGAAACCTCTGAATCTGATGCTTCTGATGAAGAACCACTACCTCGTACTTCTGGCAGAAGAACACCCTCAACTAATAGGATGAAGTTTCCAGTTAGTACCAGACTTTATGTCCTTCATAGGTCATCTCCAGTACAGAATATCTTTAGCAAAAGGATCATACCATTGAGTTTTGAAGTCATGGCAATGTCCGATAATTTTTTTTTGGGGGGGGGGATCTATGGGACTCAAAAGAGATTACCTATCACTGCGCATTTTATTTGATAAACTATGGTGTCTAGAGAGAAAGAATCTCCCCATTACATAATAATGCCACTAAACTCCTATTAAATACGACCAAAAAAGGTCTCAAAAAACAAACTAACTTCCTCTCCCCCCAAAATACACACACACAGTATAGTGGCACACCATATGGTGTGTTTATTTGTTTGTTTGTTTTTATGAGACAGGTCTCACTGTGCAGCTCGGGTGGCTGGAACTTGCTATGTGGACCAGGTTGGCCTCTGCCTTTCAAGCTGAGAGGCATACACTTTTAATCCCAGCGCTAAGGAGGCTGAGGCAAAAGAATCATCAAAAGTCTGATGACAGAGTGGGCTACAGACTGAGTTCAAGGTCAATTTGGGCTATAAGTGACTGAAAATAAACAAGTGCCTCTCATTTTTCATCAGGTGGGATCCTGTGCTACCCACGCACTCTGGCAATAACAGGGCCATACCCAGATGCCCTTTGACCATGAACCAGAGCCATGAGACAAAATAAGTCTCTTTTCCTTGTCACTTACCAAAGCTGTAAGAATGGTTTTTAGCAATTAACAGAAAAAGGATTAATTTTTTTGTATGTATGTGGTATGCATGCATGTTAGATGTGTTCACATGTGATTTTCTTCCTATGAGGACCAGGCTGGACTCAAACTGGAGTTTGCTCTTAATCTCCTTTTCTAATGTCCTGTTTCTGCTAAGGACATTCCTCTAGAGTGAGCTAAGCTCTGGGTCATCTCCCCAGGAGCAGTTGTGGAGGTCTCAAGCATGAGCCATTTCCACAACTCCACTCTCACCCAGCCGCTCCTGCCATAGCCTACAACACAGGCATCAAAGCGCTAAATAGCTTAGCACTGCGGACAAGTGTGGCAGAGGCCACAGGAGTCTTTCTACCCAGAAAGCTGCACAGGCAAGTTCCGTCTTGAGCCCTCTGCCCTTCTCTGACCCCATGTTTCTTGATCTCAAGGCATAAAGATTTCTTAATATCTTATTTTTGCAATTTCTCCCAACCAACTCTGAGATCGGGCATATTGAGAGAGGGCAAAACCAAATAAACAATCCTCTGAACATCCAGGAAATGGCTGCTGGGGCTTTGAACTCCACGAACAACCTTGCCAGCTGTGCACATCTATGCTGGGTCTTCCTCTTCCATCGGCACATCATTGCTGGTGCTTTTACTCTGTTCATCCTCTGGTCCTGCAGGCAGAATGCTAGTGACAGTATGCAGAAGGGCTTCAATCTGCTCCTCCGTGAGCCGCTCTTCACTCTCTTCCACCATCTACAAGGGAAAGAAGCCCGTCAGGGGTTAGAAGTAGGCCTCCCTTCATTGCTCACCTGAGCCATGCAGTCCACAGTGCCAGTCCAGAACCTGGACCTGAGCCAGCAAGGTCTTCATCTAGGATCCACAGTAGGATGAAGCCAGCTCAAATCCAAGATCAAGCCAAAGCAAGCATGCAATGTGGGTCTGTGGAGCTGAGCATTTGTCTGTCTGTCTTTCTCTTCCTGCATGTTGCTCTTCCTTTTTTTGGTGACAAGGTAGCCCTGGCTATCCTGAAACTCACTATGTAGACCAGGCTGGCCTCCAACACACAGAAATCTGCCTGTCTGTCTCGTGAGTGCTGGAACTAAAGCTGTGCATCACCAGCTTGCTCTTCTTTAGATAAATGGAAATTCTAACTATTCTGTTCCCATTCACATCCACACACTAGTATGTCGGGTGTGCAAAGAAATTCACCTTTGGGGGGTGACAGGGCCCTAGATAAACTTTAGGATTTCACAACAAACTACCTCCATCGTAAGTGATATGAGTGATAAGTCACTCGATGCTGCTTCCCCTGTACCAGTTTCTATCCTCTAACAGTTCTCACGACCCCTGCTTCTCACCAGAGCTCTGCAGGGTCCTCGTGATCTCTTCCAATACTCACTGCAATCCTAGCAAGAAGCAGGACTGGACTCCCAGCCTGGCATGCCCAGGTAGAAAGCCTCCAGCTAACACATACCACATTGTGGTTTGGCTCCTCAATGTCCCTCAAATGCTGTGCCTAGGAAGTTTGGTCCTCAGCCTATGACACTACTGGGAGACAGAGAACCTTTAGTAGTGGGGGTACAGGGAGAAAGTCAGGGTATTGGGGGTGCTAGGACCCTAGACTTTCCTCAAGTTTACGGCTTGGTCACTGTCCAGGCCTAAAGCAACAGGGCCGTCTGTACTTGGACTGAATCTGAAACCATGAGACAAAATAAACCTTTCTTCTTTGTAAAGTGGTTATGTCAGGTGTTTTATTAAAGCAAGAGAAATTAACGCAACCCACCAATCTCCAAAGAAGGCAGAAGAGGAGCCTGACAAGTAAGTAGAAAACAAGAGAAGCTGAAGAGATGATGGCTCAGCAGTTAAGAGCACTGGCTGCTGGTGCAGAGGACCCATTTCGGGTACCAGCAGCCACACAGCAGCTCATAACCACCTGCAACTCCAGCCCCAAGGGCTCCACCCTCCTCTGGCCTTTGTAGGCACCCACGTGCACCCTCACACAGGCACAGGCACACACATAAACATAAATAAAAACTAAATTTTTAAGATTTTAAATTTATTTTTATTTTTACACGTATGAGCATTTTGCATACATGTGCACCATGTGTGTGCCTGATGCCTGCTAAGACTAGAAGAGCACATCAGATCCCTTAAAACTGGAGTTAAAGATGGTTGCAAACCACAGAGGTGCTGGGAACTGAACCTGGGTCTCTGGAAGAGCAGCAAGTGCTCTTAACTCTCCATCCTCATAAAAATACAACTTTAAGCCAGGTGGTGGTGGCATATGCCTTTAATACCAGCACTTGGGAGGCAGAGGCAGATGGATCTCTGTTGAGTTTGAGGCTAGTCTGGTCTACAAGAGCTAGTTCCAGGACAGAAACCCTGTCTCGAAAATAAACAAAAACAAAAACAAAAAACCCAACAACTTTAAAAGCACTATGCAGGTATGCAAGACTGTGTTCACAAGGAGGCATGAGCATGTGACTGACACCGGATGAAGGTTTTTTAACAACTACCCTAAGACCCAGCAACTGATACAAAAAGGTATTTCAGAAAGAACCCTAGCAAATGTGCAGCGGGAAGTCAAATAAGGAAAAGGTTCCACCCCGAAGAGAATGGCAGTCTGACTGCCTCCTCATGCAGACACAGTAGTGCTGATCTGAAGACCACATAAGACACACCCAAGAACACATCACGGGTGCACAGAGCACTTTCCTTTCCGCCAAACCGTTTCTATAGCTAGAGAATAGTTTTGGGTGTTTCAAGTAGGGAATATCCTGACCATTTTCTAATGGTTCTTTTTTTCTTTATTTAGACAAGGTCTCAAGTACCCCAGACTGTTCTCATACTTGCCATGTAGTCAAGGATAACCTTGAATTTCTGATTTGGCAGCCACCACCACCTAAGTGCTGAGATTATCAGGTGCATACAGCAAGCTGGGCTTGTGCAGTGCCAGGAAAGGAACACTTGTTCAATATCCTCAACCATCAGGGAAATCCAAATTAAAACTGCTTGAGATTTCACCTTAGATCAGTGAACAAACGACAGCAGATGCTGGCGAGGATACAGGGAAAGAGAAACACTCCTCTACTGCTGATGGGAGTGCAAAGTGGCACAGCCACTGTAGAAATCAGTGTGGAGGTTCCTCAAAAAGCTGAGAATCCATCTACCTCCGGATCCAGCTACAGCACTCCTGGATAGATACCTAAAGGACTCTACATCTTACTACAGAGATACTTGCTCATCCACGCTCATGAAGCCAGAAACAGGAAACAGCCTAGATGTCTACCAGGTGATGAAAAATGAAAATGTTGATATACTTACACAATGGAATACTGAAATCTGCAGATAAATGGATGTAGCTAGAAATGATCATCCCAAGTAAGGCAACCCCAGATCCCAAAAGACAAACACTGAACGTTTCCTCTTATATGATCAGTTAGCTTTTAAGCTTTAGTATGTGTTTCATTTAGAATGCCTAGAGGTTAGGTAGTTAGTAAGTAACCCACAGGAAGAAAGGGATCTTCCAAGGAAGGAGAAAGAGAATATGATGTTATAAAGAGATAAAGGGTCTGGTATGGTGGTGCACATTTAGAAGCAGAGTCAGGCAGATTTCTATGAGTTCAAGGCCAGCCTGGTCTATATGGTAAGTTCCAGGACAGCCAGGGCTATGTAGAGAGATCCTATCTCAAAAAACAAAAACAAAACAACAAAAAGAGATAAAGGGGAAACTAGAATAGGAGAATAAAATGGGGATGAAAGAACAGGGTAAGGGAGGGAATGTGGGAAGGGAAAATTAACACTAAAGGCCCTTTGAAAATCCATATGGAGCGAGGTAGTGGTGGAGCACGCCTTTAATCCCAGCACTCAGGAGGCAGGTGGATCTCTATGAGTTCGAAACCAGCCTGGCCTACAGAGCAAGTTCCAGGACAGGCTCCAAGGCACAGAGAAACCCTGTCTTGAAAAAAACAAAAACAAAACAAACAACAAAAAAAAACATGGAAACTTATTACTATAGAAGTTTGCTAAAATGTACACATATGTGGAAGAAATTCCCACCAAGACATCTTATGCTACCAAGTAACCATCCCCCCATTGCTAGGAATGGATTACAACTTGGTAAGTCATTGGTCAAACGGATCCCAAAGAATTCCCCCCAAATCACAGGGTGCTGCCAAGGCTGTTGGTTATCCTCCACAACCTAAGAGTAAGGGCATATATGAAGACCACTTACTATGTCATCAAGGATGGAACAAGCCAGGCGGTGGTGGCGCACGCCTTTAATCCCAGCACTCAGGAGGCAGAGTCAGGCGGTTCTCTGTGAGTTGGAGGACAGCCTGGTCTACAAAAGCTAGTTCTAGGACAGGCTCCAAAGCTATGGAGAAACCCTGTCTTGAAAAAAAAAAGCAAAACAAAACAAAAACAAAAGAAACAAAAAAACAGAGTTGGTGCCCAATTAGAAGTTTTTCCCCTACTGGATCATGTTCATGGTACTAGAAGGTACTAAGCACATTATCAGAGAAGAAGAGTAGTCTTCAATAATTCAATAATCACCTAGCTACGAACATGTCTGCAAGATGTACTGCTACCACAGTAGCTCAAATGTTACAGGAGTAACCAGCTGCCTTTTGATTGGATTTAAGACCCACTCCATGAGATGGAGCCCCTATAATGGCACTGCTAAAGGGCCAAGAACCTGAGACTAGACAGGTCATGGGTCCTAAGGGAAATCTGCTACAGTTATTCTGCTAAAGGAACGTAGCAATAGAATGACTCTTAATGAGACACTGCTGTTCCCATGGATCAGCACATCACACACCCTCACCAGTGAAGCTTCTTGCAGCAGATGGGACCTAACACAGACCTACAACTGGACACTGCAGAGAGTGGGGGATTTTGGAACACTCAGCTCTAATGAGATCAACCCCCTGCTATCAAGGCTCAGAAATCTAAGCTGAAGGGGAGGTGGAAAGATTCCAAGAGCCAAAGGTGATGGATGATAACAAGGAGTCTTCAAGGCACAGCAAGGATGATCTACGTAAGAACTCAGATGGATTATGACCATCACGGAGAAGGGGAGGTAGACACAAAGTCCGACTCCTAACCAAGAGGCTATTTGCAACAGAAATCTGCAGGGAAAAGGAAAATCTGTTTTCTCCAATGGAGTAACACTGGGCATGCCAATCATACTCCAGGGCAAGACCCATGCCCAGGAGCAGGCTCACACAAAGCAGACTCCATGCTCTTTATGCCTTCTGTTTTAGTTTGTTTTATTAGGGCTCTTTTGTTTGTTTATTTTGATTTCTGTGTGGTTGTTTTTTTTCTCCTTTGAGAGAGATAGAACATGAAATTGGGAGGGTAAAGAAGTGGGAAGGATCTGAGAGGAGTCAGGGGAGAGGAAAGAATATAATCAAAATAGACTTTATGAAATGTTTTAAAATAATAAGAAAAATGAAAAAAAAACCCAATTCTTTAAAAATGCATTTTTAGACAGATATGTTGATGCATGTTTTTATTGCCAATATTTAGGAGGTAGGGACAGGAGGATCAGGAATTCAAGATTATCCCAAACTCAACTACATATTAAGTTTGAGGCCAACCCAGGCTACATGAGACCTTACCTCAAAAAAAAATTTCACAAAATCAGATCAGACACAAAAAATTAAAGGCAGTAATCCAACACAGTATGCCCCCAAAGAAGAAAGGGAGCTGGAGTGAAACATCCGGTTTGATTATTTAGTGCAAAGGAAAGACTGTAAGCTGATGAAACTCTGCCAAACCCGGCCAAAGCATCTGTGAAGAGCTCCGCCATATGAGGAGCCGCACTGGAAACACGCTGACTGTACTGAAGCACACTGACTTTGGGAGGCACGGCAGTGTGTAAGAGGCTCTGTCTGCAGCCCCAGGTCTTTAAGCTCAATCCTAACTCCTTCTGGAGCACCAGAGCCTCTCTCACTGATGCTGGGCAGCAGTATGGAGGCTCCTGCTACGGGGTGGGTGGAACCCTCTGAGGCCTTCCTTTTTACATAGAACCAGTGCTATCGCCCAGCATCACTGACTTTGGGTCTGGCAGCGGCAGTGCCAATCAGGGGTCACTAGATATGACCTTAGCAAAAGGGCACCAGCTCTCCAAGCTGGCAACTTTACCAGAACTATACCCACAGGGTAACTGTAGTTGGGAAGGTGGTTTTAAACATAAGATTCTTTGTTTTCAGGCACAGGAAGAAAACGAAAGCTTACCTACCCTCTTCTTGGACCACCAGAGAGGTCAGCAACTACATCCTGCCTCACCTTTCCTCCCCACAGGAGGACAGCCCAAATAAGAAACTCAAGGCTCAGCTGGGCGTTGGTGTAGTGGAGGCAAAGGCAGGCAAGTCACTGTGAGTTCAAGGTCAACCTGGTCTACAAACAAGAGCTAGTTCCAGGACAGGCTCCAAAGCTACAGAAAAACCCTGTCTTGAAAAACCAAAACAAGAAAAGAAAAGTAAAGCTTTAAAACTGCTTTCAGTGTTAAAGCATTTGATTTCTAATTGCTGCTGTTGGCCTGTTAGGCTTGGGTCATGTGAGGAAAGCCGCGTGCTAGGACTGGCAACTTCCAGTGGGGAGTGGCCTCTTCTGGAGTATTTGGCTGCCTCCAGGGATTAGAGAGCTTTGTGTGTGCAGAGCTTTGTCATTCACCAAGAGCTGTCGGCCTGCTAGGGTTTTACATATTCATTTGCTTTTATATTGTGAACAACTTGCCGCATTGGTGTTGGGGAATATTGAAATGGAGCCTTGAGGTTTTTTTGTTTGTTTTTTTGTTTTTCTGGGGAGTGCTGGGATTAAAGGCGTGCACCACCACCACTCAACTTACTTTTTCTAGTTTTGCAAGTTTTTCATCTTTGTGATGTGTTTGTGGGGTCTGATCCTCACCGTCCACCTAGTCTGAGCTTGCTTATGCATGACTTAACAGTTGTCTGTTTCCAGGGATTCTCCTCTCTCTGCCACCCGTCTCCCTAAAGGAGCACTAGGATTACAGATGCTCACACTACACAAGCTTTATGTGAGTTTGGGTCCTCAAGCTTGTGGGGGACAAGCACTGTACCCACTGAGCTATTTCTTCCACACCATCGCCTTAGAATCAGGACCTTTCTAAGCACTAATACAACACTTCCTTAGGGAAGACTAGACAAAACTGCTCTCCAACTAGGTAGAAATTTATACTTCTGACCTCAATTGACAGGTTGCATAAAATGAATAAATACAACAAAATCTTACCAAAAATACTGTATACAACTCCTTTCAATCTATATGTTACAGTACATATAAATCAATCCTGTGTTGAAACTTGGGTCTTAAATGATGCATCCTGGTAATAAGGTCCAATACTAAACAGAGTTGTTCATCCTGGAAAACTCAGCTGTAGCAACAGCCATGACTTGCAGCTATTTGGCCTCTCAACATCAGCTTCCTCTGACCAACTGAAAGAGATGCCGACAGTGAGCTGTAGGGCTGCTATGGGAATGGAAGCCAATGGGCCTTGATGGGCACAGGCTGGAATGCTGTGCAGGACAAGGATCTGTGATGGAGCACAGCAGAGCAAGCTGGACTCTCACAGCAGGCCCACTTTCTCACAGAGCCTCTCAGTCAGTGGACAGCCACCAAAGGACCACAACAAACCCTAGCTGAGGCACTTCTTGCTCTCAACCGAACTCTAGCAAGCATGGGTGGTGCAGCCCCTTTCTGAGGCTGTCGTTACTCCAGAGAAACCAAGTCCTTTGCTTTCTGACCTCTGAGAAACCCTCATTCCTCATGCTCTCTGGCAGTCAGGGTGCTGCTCTATCTAAGCCCTGCTGCTCGCTATCTTTTGCACCAATTCTATGGTAGGAAAAAGATCTGATAAAAAAAAAATGCTCTGCTGCAGGGAAAGAAGGGTCTGTAGAAAGAGACAGCTGAGGGAACACCACACTAACCACCTCACGAGCTGTGACGAGTGATTCTAGGCATCACCTTGATGGCACCTGGTCAACTGGTAAGATTCTGGATGCATCTGTGAGGAGTCTCTGGAAGCCTGTGTGAGCTAATCGACTTGCTGGAAAACGTCTACTGTTAATGCAGGTGAGCACCACTCAAGTGGTTGGGGTCAGGACAGCACCATTCTTACCCCAAGTGGGTCACTCGTGTCCTGGGCAACCTCAGTTCAGGCTCTTTGGCCTGAAGGCTGTAGAACATACAGCAGTCAACCTAAGCTCTCAAGCCCTATAACCTCAGACTGTTTAAACTATCAGCTTCCTTGATTCTGAGGACTTCCCACCTGGACTGAGCCAATCTACTAGTACCTTGGGGTCTTCAGCCTGTAGATGGCTCTCTGGGAGGGGCCTTTGTGCTCCCATAACCTTGTGGTCTATTCCCCTAGTAAATCCCCTCATCTCTGTCTCTGGTGATACAGACCCCAACTGGCCACTCACTGTCCTCTGAAATAAAAAGGTGAGAATATCTGTCCTCCTCCAACACTAAAAGGACACGGACAAGGCCCTTGGAGCACGTCTAACATGTCAGAGCACTCAGAATCAGCTCTTCCAATAAGCAAGTCCGGAGCTTTCCCCAGGCTCGGGATGGAGCCCTTCTAACCCTCCTCACGGCTCCTCTTCATCTGTCACTTGGCCACAAACAGCATGTGGTGCTGATTAAAGTTGGAGGAGACCCAACACGTGATCCTTAACCCAAGGGACAGGGATCGGTTTCTTCATCTTTCCCTCTCCTGCAAGCTGAATCTGTCTAACATCTAGAACAATGAGGACACACAGATGGGGACCTCTGTTTAGCATAAAGGCCAAGTCCCCCAGGAAGCTCCCCAGAAGGGAAGGAATGTCTATAATTTAATTCTGGGTATGTTTGGAAGGACAGACACAACTCTAGGAAGACAATGAAGGCTTTAGTCAAAACTTAACTACTTTATAACCTTTGAAATGTTTTAGATAAATTGAGAGGCGCATAGAGGTTCTTGGTCATTGTTTTCCATACTTTGCAAATTTTACAAAGACCTGAATGCTTCTTCTGTACTTGTTTTTGTTTTTTATTACAAGTATTTTTCAAGAACGAAGGGAGCATAATATGTGACCTGGGCTGGCCTCAAACTGTCATCCTCTACTCCTGCCCCCACAACAGTGGGCTCACAGGCATGCACCCCCAACCCCTGCTAAGAGCTGAATATTTCTAAGATAAACTTTGTCAACTATTTTACTGATTCTCAAAACCAAGTTTTCCTGGTAGTGACAGGACCCGCTTAACCCTCACAGCTAACTGATGCTCTGCCGTGTACCAGAAGGCCCCTGCCGCATGACACCTGAAAGGAGCCTCTCGCTGGCCAGCACCTTCACTTCCTCCCCAGACACCCTGCTCTGTCTCTGTCCACCATGGCTGAAGCCCTGCACTGTGACTGCATATTGGGCCTTACAAATTCCGAGGCTGCACCAGATACTTTTATGCAGGGAAAAAAGACCAAGTTCATGGGTTTAGAAAGGGATCTGTAAGGCAGGTGTGGTCACACATGCTTGGAGAAGCAGAAGGAAGAACGAAAAACTGCAGGGGTGAGTTATGAAATGCGGACAGAAATTAATGTTATATGCTCAAGAGAGAGAGACTAAGCAGAAGTGGAAGCAACCGAAAGCGGGGACAACTGAGCATCAGCTAGAACAAGAACTGCTGAGAAGAAGGCCCAGCAGGACAGGCGAGGAAGACAGCAAGTGGGGAAGAAAGAAAGAGGTGGAAGGGTGGGGGAGGGGAGCACTTTGAGTCTAATGATTTTATGCAACATCTGGTTGGCTGTAACTCCTACAGGCCAGCCATGGCCAGAAAGGCCTGGGACAGCAGAGGACACAGGGTTGCCAAATCCAAGGAAGGAACTAAATTCCAGAGTCCACTCTCCAAGTGGCGAGGCTCCGCTCCGGTCTCTCCTTTCACTTACGGCACGGGAATGGGTGTGCAGTCCCTGGCTTGTTCACTCTCAGCCTTTCTGCATCTCAGACCCACAAAACAACTCCTGGAATCCAGCGACCCCCCACTCACCAGCTGGATCTCAACAGCGGTCATTGGCCTGTGGTTCAGCAGCTGAAGCTTCTCGGCTCTGTCAAAAGAAAAACATCAACTGCTTAAAACTCTCCTGCCCTGAAGGACCTTGGGTCTTGATCAAGTTCCTGTCAGGAAATAACTGGAGACTCCCTGCCAGGTGGCCCTGTAATAAGGAAGATTCAGAGAGGAGAGGACACCACACCTCTCCTCAGTGGTCCATGTGCCAGCATCCCACAAGGGACACAGGCACAGCGCTTCTTAAGGGAGCAACAGCAGAGGTGAGGGCTGAGGGACTACTCAGCTCATCTGCCTTCCTATACCTCCTAACAACTGGAGTGCCATCCCTGGGCTCTTCAAGAAAAACCTGCCTGCCAAGGGTTGTCCCCTGATCTCCCCATCCTGCACAAAGGCACATGCATGCCCACACTCATATAACAAATAAGAACATCTAAAGCATGTTTAAAAAGATAACACTTGCAATTCACAGTGGCATAAACCTCTGATTCCAGCCCTTGGGAGCTAGAGGCAGGCAGATCTCTGTGAGTTAGAGGCCAGCCTGTCTCAAGAATACACAACAACAGAACTCCCCATATTTGCTACACTAATTTTTATTTGGAAAATGAGAAAGTGTTTTTCTTTTTTTTTCTTTACTGCTTTACAATTTTTATTTATACTCTTTTTTAAGTTTAACTTATTTTTTTAAAAAAGGAAACAAACTACCATCTTTTTTCATTTTACATAAGAAAATGTTTTCTTGGTTCAATTTAAAGAAAATGAAGAGAAGATTCTCCTCATTGGTTAGTCACTGCTTAGAAATGGTTAAGAATCAAGTTCTGAGAGTAACGTTATATATTGTTCAGATTTGTTTTGTCTTAATTTCTTTTTAGAAGGGTTATTTTTTAGACATGTATTTATTTATTTGTGTGTGAATGAGAGAAAGAGAGAGAACAAACATATGTGAGATGCCACAGCACACGCGTTGGTATCAAAGGACAACTTGCAGTTGTTTCTCTTTCTCCCGTGTGGATTGCAGGAGTCAAACTCAGACGTTCAGGCTTGGCAGCGAGTACCTTACTCACTGAGGCATCGCATTTTTATTTCTTAAGATAGGTTGGCCTTGAACTTGCTATCTAGCTGAGGATGACTTTGAACTCATGATTTTTCTGCCTCAATGTCTTAGATGCTAGGATGTGATGATAGACAGGGGTTGTCAACTTGACTGGATTTATCATCACCATGGAAACAAACCTCTGGACATGCCTGTGAGATCGTTTCACGGTGGATCAACTGGGGTGGTGATGTGACTAATGTGACTGCCACCCACTAGGGCTGGGGTCCTACTGAACAAAAAGGAGAAAGGGGGCTGAGCAGCAGCATCCATCTCCGAGTGCAGACTGAGGCTGCACTGTGACCAGCCGCCTCCCATTCCCGCTATGCTTTCCCCAGCATGATGGACCGGACCCTTTTTCCGCAAGTGGCTTTGGTCAGGCATTTTGCACAGCAAAAAGTAATTAATACACAGTGTTACTGAGGTTTGAATTATCTTAGTAAATTAAAAGAAGCCAGGCATGATGGCTCAGGCCTGTTATCTCAAAACTGGGGAAGCTGAGATAGGATATCAAAGTTGAGCCAGCCTGGGCTAAGTAACAGTTGAAGATAGTAATTACCATGACTTCAAACTTGGTATGAGGCCAAGGATACTTTAATACCTGATCTTCCTGCCTCCACCTCCCAACAGGATTATAGGTCACCATACCCAGTAGCAATTATCACAAGAGATACACAGCCCACTGTTGAAGAGGTTAAAAGGTGACAGGACTTCAAAGATTAATTTTACTTCATGTATGAGGATTTGTCTGCAAGAATATTATGTATACCACATATGGACACCAAAGGAGGGCATCAAATCCCATAAACTGGAATTATAAACAGTTTTGAGTCTCCGCGTGAGTGTTGGGAACCAAACGCCAAGGGCAACAAGTGCTACTAATCATTGAGTCATCTCTCCAGCTCCAGTGACAAGACTTCAAGGGGAGAGGAATGACCCTACCTTCGCCATCCCCACACAAGTGGTAAGTTCTACATTTCTTCCTGGGTCTGACTCTAGAGTTTCACACTCATCCTTTAGGTCTGTCCGACACAAATGGAGTTTAAAGACACTCTGGATAAAGATGCAAAGCCACAGCTGCCTACTGTTTGAGAAGCAGTGTGAGGTAAGTACCTCCCCAAGCCTCAGGTACACGTATGTAAAAAAATGAGAGTAGCACTTAGAGCTCATGAGGGCTATGAGAGGTGACATCCTCGTGTCTCAAGTGGCCGCTACCACCACTTACTGCCTGTTTTCCATTTGCTGCCAAAGGAGGAAGATGTTTAAGTGACAAGGAGATAGGAAGTAACCTGTCCACAGTTCCCATCAGTCAAGACAGGGACTCAGCCGCTAGCACTCACACTGGCCATATGCTTCTAGCAGAAGCATCACCATGACGACAGCCCCACCACAGCTCCAGTCATTCAGGCACTGTTATAGTACACGTGGTCAAGCTCTATCCTCAAATCCCCTGAAACGTTTACCAATCATTTCCTCAAATGAGATTTCACAGCAGTGGAGCATTGGCCTCGTATGCAGGAGGCCTTGTGTTCAATCTCAAGCAGGATGGGAAGGGAGGAGGAGGGAGAAGAAAGATGAAAAGAAAAGAAAAGAAAAGAAAAGAAAAGAAAAGAAAAGAAAAGAAAAGAAAAGAAAAGAAAAGAAAAGAAACAAAGGGAGGAGAGGTGGGAGGTGAAGAGAAAAAGACTTTGCATTGAGCCCTGAGAATTTTCTGGGCAAAACTGAGGGATGTGACTTAGTTTGCTAGGGTTCTTGCCTGAGTTCCATTGCCAACACTACATAAACCAAGGCATCCTGGCAGATACCCTACCTTGCCTCTGCTCTGCCACTGCCAGCTACTACTTCCTTCAGAAGGTCACCCTATGGATTCCACAGTGTCCCTCTTTCTTGTCTGGCCCTTCGCTGACTATTCCTTCTTTGTGTGTCAAGTTCTCTTCCCTTGTCTGGCCCTAGCACTCCACACCGTCACCTTTTCCCTCCAAGGCTCTTACTGACTTCCTCATACAAAATGCACAATCTCCATAGCTACTACAGGTTCTGCTGGAGAAATTCATGTTTCCAAGATATGTGAGCTGAGCTCCAGACCTTTGTAGCCAAGTGTCTCCCACACATCTCCACGTAGACATTCCAGACGCTTCGAAACCAACACATCTGATGCAACTGTGACTACTTTCCAAAAACTAGCTCCTCCACGAAAGAACCTAAGGTCAGAAATCTGGCAGCCACTCCTCACTTTTTCTAACCCAAGCCAACACTTAGTTCCCAGGTACTTATGATTCTTTGAAGGTGCTTGTGTCCTCCTCACCATTACTTTAAATCCCTCCAACCTCTCGGTTACAGGACAGTATACTTTCCTCTTACAAGCAAACACCTTTTAAGAGACTGAGATCTTGTGAAGGGAAGATGGATCAGTAACTAAGAGCTTTTACAGAGGACCCAAGTTTGGTTCCCAGCACCCACATGAAGGCCAACAACTTTCCATAACTCCTGCTTCAGAGGATCTGATACCCTCCACAGATGCCAGGCAGTGCACATAAATACACACGTGCCATTCCCAGGAAGACCAGAAGGTGCGGGATCCTCTGGGTGCTGGGAACTGAACCCAGGTCTTCAGCAAGAACAACAAAGTGCTCTTAATCACTGGGCAAAGTACTCTTAATCATTTCAGCCATGGTCCTCCCAAAGGTTTTGGAATCAGTTTGAGTTTCTCTAGCTCACCCCCAAGAACCCTGTGACCTCTGCTCCTGAGCAGTCTATCTTCAATGGCTCCACTTTCACTCAGTGATCCAGCCAAGCTGTAGACAAGATACAGCAGAGCCTCAGGTCGATTCCCAACTCCGTGCCTTGCATAACAAATGGTATTCCTCACCTGAATCTGGAGACTTCCTCTGTCTTATCATCGCCTCTTATAAACAAAATAGTACCCTAAAACCGACACTTGCGCGCCTCTCCACTGTGTCCCCTCCAGCACAGCACTGAGAGAGACAGAGCTGGCATGATACAAATGCAGCCTGAAGGATGAGCAGAAGGAAGGGCTAGGGAAGCCTCGACTTCGAGCAGAAGCTTGTGGCAATTCCGAGGAAGCAGGAAGCAGGAGTTGATGTTCTGAGGGCAGACCAGGAAAGACCACCAGGGAAACCTGAGAATCCATCATCTACACTTGAGCTCTGCTGGTCTGAGGTCCACGTCAAACCCCTGGAGTAATGTGTGTGCAGGAGAGAAGACGAGCAGAATTCCTACAGACCTAACTGAGCTGGCCTGTGAGGGCAAGCGTCCCTCTCCACAGCTGTGTGTCTTAAAGGGATAGGAGCAGGGGCTGCTAGTTAGGCACTGAGAAACAGAGATCAGGCCAAATCTAAACTATTAAAGAATCAATTTTGGTGGAGACTGGAGTAACACACTAAACAAAAAATTACACAACACATGGTACCAGTGACTTGAAGTTGAATTCCAACTGTATTATTTTGTTGATGAAGTCTACGAAGTCAAACAAACACAACCCCTAGCCTACCCTCAAGGACTCCAGTAAAGATATCTTAGCAAAATAATGAATGGCTCCCCAAGCAAAACAGAAAGAAGGTGACTTCAAGATCAAATATAAGATTGAAAGGAGATGTTAAACATAGTTTTTAACATGATTCCTGGTTAGCAAGGCTGGCCACCGTCTTATCTGGCAAGTCGCCCCTTCACCAGTCATGCAGGCAAAGAGGCAGAAGTCAGCCACAGAGCAAGAAGCTTGCTGGATCCCTCTACTGGCCACTGTGCAGCACTGTCGGGAGCTTTTACCCAGGCAGTCATAAAACCAAGAGGTAAAGATGTAAAAGGCTATGCGAGACGTTATAAATGATTAGTTTGAAGACCACAAATTGGAAAAGGGAGCAGTTAATTCTCTACTGAAGTGGGCTTTAAGTTAATGTATATTCAACCAAGTCTGAAATAATTTGCAAAGCAATTCCTATTTTATAGGTTTTTCTCTCTCTCTTCCTCCCTTTCTCCAACCCTTTCCCTCCTTTTCTTTTCTTTCTTTCTTTCGCCAGCACTGGTGATAGAACTCAGAACCTTAGCCATGCTAAGCAAGTTCTCCACCATGGAAAAGATGCAGGGACTACATCCAAATAGACAAACACTTGCAAAGGACTTGAAAAATCAGTCATTAAGATTCCTGTACAGGGCTGGAGAGATGGCTCAGCGGTTAAGAGCACTGACTGCTCTTCTAGAGGTCCTGAGTTCAATTCCCAGCAACCACATGGTGGCTCACAACCACCTATAATGAGATCTGGTGCCCTCTTCTGGCCTACAGGCAGGATACCGCATAAATAAAAAAAAAAAAGATTTCTGTCACATGGGGCTGGTGTGATGGCTCAGAGGTTAAGAGAGTGTATTGCTCTTGCAGAGGACCTGGATTCAGTTCCCATCACTCATGTCAAGCATCTCACGACCATCTATAACTCCAGCTACAGAGGATCCCAAGCTTCTGCCATCCTCAGGCATCTGCACTCACCTGAACTTATCCACATGCAGACACGCAGACACACACACACAATTAAAAATAATTTTAAGGGGCTGAAGAGATGGTTCAGCAGGTAAGAGAACTGGCTGCTCTTACAGGGGACCCGGGTTTGATTCCCAGCATCCACATGGCGGTTCCCAACACACTATAACTCCAGTTCCAGGGGACCCAACAGGCACACATGATGCACATACATACACATATGCATATGGGCAAAACATTAATACACACAAAAATTCCAATAAAACGTTTTACTGGGTGGTGGCGGCGGCACCTTTAATCCCAGAACTCAAAAGGCAGAGGCAGGACGATCTCTGTGAGTTCAAAGCCAGCCTAGTCTACGGAGAGAGTTCCAAGGCCACACAAAGAAACCAAGTCTCAAAATACAAAACAAACCCAAAAAAGGCAAATAAATAAATAAATAAAGAATTTAAAGAGCAATTATGCTTTTAAGGCCAATTTCCATTGATGACAATGAAAAACCCCAGTAAATTTGGCTACACACTACATAACAAAGGGGCAACATTACCAGAGGCTTGTAACAACAGAATTACCAGTCTAAACTATCTGAATCGTCAAAAGGCCCAGAATACAATTCATAAAGTTATTTCAACCAGGAAAATATGACTTATTTTCAGAGGAAAAGAACAGATAGTAAACTCATGCTAACTCAGACCTTAGAATATCAAAGGTGTCAGCTATTATCACAACACAAATAGGAAACAGTGTTTAACTGAATGGACGACCAGCGGGTCTAGCAAAAAAGTCATTCATAACCGTGTGCAGACAGTGGAAGGGGAACTGGAGAGATGGCTCAGGGGTATAGAGCAATGGCTGCCCTTCCAAAGTCCAGAGTTTAGATCTTAGCACCCACATTAGGAAGCTCACAAACAACTGTAACTCCAGCTCCAGAGGATCTGATGTCTTCATCTGGCCTCCAAGCGCAACTACACACGCGTGCGCACACACACACACACACACACACACGCACACACGCACACACACACACACACACAGAGTTTAAAAGAGGTTTGTCTCCAGTGTTCACCTAAAGTACAGAGGTGGAGAAGTGTAGCAATCATCATCCCGAACACGGTAACAAAAGCAACTGCAGGGCTGGATCAGTGTTCAACAATACCACCTAGCATGTGCCGAGGCCTGGGTTAGTATCAACAAACACCAAAAACCAAAAAACAAAAAACAAAAAAAAAAAACCCAAACAAACAAAAATTTATGAAGCGGCTTTTGGAAGTTATCAACATTAACACTAATCCTAAAAGACATGGACTGGTTGTCTTCCAATGTAAACCCTTAACCTGTGTTTTTAGCTTTTGTAAACTGAACTCACATATATATTAAAGGCCAAGAAAAGCTGCCAGGAAGCATCTGAGGTGCAGGCAGGCTATAGTCAAGCCACTTCTAACTCAAGCAAACACAATGCCAGGTAACTTTGTTCATTAATCTTATAAAAAGAACTTCCATTGTCTTTATTTGTTTTGTTTTCTCTTTTTTACCTGCCTTCCTTCCCCTTCCCCGCAACCCCAAAGCTCCAATGGTTCTGGAGATGGAGCCTCACACGCTAGCACGCAAGGTAAAGATGAGCTACACTTGCAACTCAACACTGTTAATCCTGAATCCTACTTTCAATCTCCTGTGGCTGTAAGGACAGGCAGCAAAGAGCTTTATGAACACTAAGGAAAGACTCTAGGATAAGGACACAGTGGCTCTTTAAGGCCATGTGTCTAATTTTCAGTTGTCTTTTCTCGCAATACCATCATCCCACTTTAAAACAGTAATGTGTACGCCCTTAATCCCAGCATCAGGAGGCAGAGGCATCTCTGAATCTCTGGGCCTGTGGCCAGCCTGGTCTACAGAGTGAGTTCCAGGAAAGCCAGGGCTACAGAGAAACCCCATCTAAAAAAAGGGGGGAGGGGGGGACAGACAAAAAACCCAAAAACAAGAAAAACAGTTCTATGCGCAATTATGAGGCCAAAGTGTGACTGAAAGAAGATGCAGCTGTTGTAAGAAACTATTCTAAGGCATTATTCTCACTGCATTTTGTGTTACCTGTTGCCTACTAAGGATAACTTACTTGGTCAGCTTGTGGCTTTTCATTGCTGTGAGGAATTCTTGAACAATCGCAGGACTCTGGTTCCTGCATGGCGTTTTTGATATGTATTTTAATGTCTAAAAAATAAATACACAAAATAAAGCCAAACATAAGATATAAATATTTTGAGGGTTTTTTGCCCATCAAAATCCCAGCAAAATTCTTCAAAGACCTAGAAAGAACAATACTCAACATCATTCGGAAAAGCAAAAAACCCAGGATAGCCAACAATCCTGTGCAATAAAAGAACTTCTGGAGGCATCACAATCCCTGACTTCAAACTCTACTACAGAGCTACAGTACTGAAAACAGCCTGGTATTGGCATAAGAACAGACAGGAGGACCAATGGAACCAAATAGAAGACCCGGATATTAATCCACACATCTTCAAACACCTGATCTTTGATAAAGAAGCAAAAAATATCAAATAGAAAAAAGAAAGCATATTCAACTGGATATCAACATGTAGAAGAATGAAAATAGACCCATATCTATCACGATGCACAAAACTCAAGTCCAAATGGATCAAAGACCTCAACATAAAGCCAGCCACACTGAACCTTATAGAAGAAAAAGTGGGAAGTACACTTGAATGCATTGGCAAAGGAGATCACTTCCTAAACATAACCCCAGCAGCACAGACACTGAGAGAAACAATTAATAAATGGGACTTCCTGAAACTGAAAAGCTTCTGTAAAGCAAAGGACACAGCAAAACAAAACAATAGCCTACAGAATGGGAAAAGATCTTCACTAACCTCACATCAGACAGAGGTCTGATCTCCAAAATATACAAAGAACTCAAGAAATTGGACACCAAAAGAACACATAATCCAATAAAAAAAAAAATGGAGTACAGACCTAAACAGAGAACTCTCAACAGAGGAATCTAAAATGGCTGAAAGACACTTAAGGAAATGTTCAACATCCTTAAGTCATCAGAGAAATGCAAATCAAAACAACTCTGAGATTCCATCTTACACCTGTAAGAATGGCCAAGATTGACCGGGCAGTGGTGGCGCACGCCCTTAATTCCAGCACTCGGGAGGCAGAGGCAGGCGGATCTCTGTGAGCTCGAGGCCATCCTGGTCTACAAGAGCTAGTTCCAGGACAGGAACCAAAAAGCTACGGAGAAACCCTGTCTCAAAAAAAAATCCAAAAAAAAAAGAAAATGGCCAAGATCAAAAACACTGATGACAACTTATGCTAGAGAGGTTGTGGGGTAAAGGGAACACTTCTGCATTGCTGGTGGGAGTGCAAGCTGGTACAACCCCTTTAGATGTCAGTGTGGCAATTTCTCAGAAAATTAGGAAACAACCTTCCTCAAGACCCAGTAATACCACTTTTGGGTATATATCCAAAGGATGTTCAATTGTACCACAAGGACATGTGCTCAACTATGTTCATAGCAGCTTTGTTTGTCATAAGCCAGAACCTGGAAACAACCTAAATGTCCCTCAGTCGAAGAATGGATAAGGAAAATGTGGTATATTTACACAATGGAGTACTACACAGCAGAAAAAAATAACGACATCTTGAATTTTGCAGGAAAATGAATAGAGCTAGAAAACATTATTTTGAGTGAGGTAACCCAGACATAGAAAGACAATTATCACATGTACTCACTCATAGGTGGTTTTTAAACATAAAGCAAATAAAAACAGCCTACAAACCACAATCCCAGAGAACTTAGACAACAATGAGGACACTAAGAGAGACTTACATAGATCTAATCTACATGGAAAGTAGAAAGCAGAAAAAGACAAGATCTCCTGAGTAAATTGGGAGCTGGGGATCTTGGGGGAGAATGAAGGGGGGAAGGGAGTGGTGGGGAGGGGAGTAGAGAAAAATGTAGAGCTCAATAAATATCAATAAAAAAAGGAAAAAATGTGAGGGTTTTTTAAAGATCTATTTTTATTTTTAATTATGTGATTCTATGTGGGTATGCCCTTGAATACAGTATCTGTGGAGGTGAAAGGCTTCAGAACCTCCTAAAACCAGAGTTCCAAGCAGCTAAGTCACTCAGCATGAGTGCTGGGGAATCAACGTGGACTCTCTACAAGAGCAATATGTGCTCAAAACTACGGAGCCATTTGGAGCCCCAGGACACAGGAATTTGAATAAGGGGCTGGAGAGATGGCTTAGTAGTTAAGAGCACACACTGCTCTTGCAGAGGACTCAGGTTCAATTCCTAGCATCCACACTGTGGCTCCCAACTATCTATAACTCCAGTTCCAAGGAACTGACACCCTCCTCTGACCTCCATAGGCAAATAGGCATGCACGTGGTACATAGACATACATGCAAGCAAAATACTCAAATACATAAAATCTTGAAAAAATAGTTCTGAATAAGAAAAAAGGAAAGCAGTGTTATAATTTAATATTCTAAAAATTTTCAGATTTGTAAGAGTTATTTTTATTTTTAAATTATGTTTATGTGTGCGCATGTGCAAGTATGTATATAAAAGAGCAGGGGCAGAGGAAAGAAATACTGATCCCCTGACACTGGAGTTGGTTAGGTGGCTGCGAGCTGCCCAGTGCAGGTGCTAAAGTCAAACTCAGGAGCAATAAGCACTTCTGACTGCTGAGCCATCACTCCAACCCCAAAGTACTCAAGAGTTCTAGCCCAACACTTGGGGAGTTTTGTTGTTGATGATGACCTGTCTTTAGGCTATGATGAGCTGCAGTTTATACAACACTCTAATGTAATATTTGCTTGCTGTTTCCATTCAATTCCCAAACAGATTAGGAAGAACAACCTTATGAATTAATTTTGCTTTCTTTTTATATGCCTTTAAACCCAGCACTAAAGAGGAAGAGGCAAGCAGATCTCGGAGTTCCAAACCACCCTGGAATGTGAGTTCCAGGTCAACCAAGGTTACACAGTGAGACACTGTCTCGAAAAACTGAAGAAAAGGGAAAAAAAAAATTAATCTGGCCTTGCACAAAGAACAGTTCTAGCCTTTGTCCTAGTGTTGTAGGTGGTGATTTCCAGGTCCCTGCAATGTTATGCCTGGGCCCCTGGGTAATTCTGCTTATCAGCCTAACTTAGGGGCTGGCCACACCTCTACAGTTTCGGAGCAAGGGTTAGATAGCATAAGACCAGTGTACATCACGACCCAGTGGAGCTTCCCTGCTGGCGACATTCCATGCTACGGCCACAGACCGACTTTAGAAAAGTAGTAACTCAAGTCCATGTGTGAGGACAGTGGAAACCATGACTGGGATATTCCCCTATTTTTTATTCTCTTGGCTAATTTTAATCTGAATCCTTTCCTTGTAGCAAACTGTCACTGTGACTGTAATAGCTTCAGCCCTGAGACAGATAACAGGAGCTAAGCTGTGCTACCACCATTACACATCATCAGTGCTATTCTGTTCTCTTCGTTAAGCACGGACTCTGCTGTCCCTTTCCTACATGAGCCAAGACCCTGTGGCACCAGACAATCTTACCCCTCACTGAGCTCTCCCTTCCTGAGTTAAAGGACTGTAAGGCAGTGGACACCATGTCAGACAGCCATTTGGATGGCTTCCTAGACACAATAACAATCACTGTGTTGTTGTGGCTCCTGAACAGACAGGACTGTTTTGAACAGTCTCTACTGGATGTTTACTGTTTTTTTTTAAAAGATTTATTTATTTATTATGTATACAACATTCTGCCTCGATGTATGCCCGCATGCCAGAGGAGGGCGCCAGATCTCAGTACAGATGGTTGTGAGCCACCATGTGGTTGCTGGGAATTGAACTTAGGACCTCTGGAAGAGCAGCCAGTGCTCTTAACCTCTGAGCCCTCTCTCCAGCCCGGATGTTTACTGTTGTTGTTATCACAAACCACAATGAACTCTAGATGATCCTGCAAACATTTCCATGTAAGCCAGAGGAAGAGCATTTCCTTGATGGCCTCGCAGGGGGTCTGTATGACTTGTGTGAGAGAGACGAGGCTATGACTGGAGCAAACATAAACTTTATCTGCATGTGAGGTCCTCTGTGGTCACTACCAACACCCCTTATCATGGTTGGTCTCTATGTCAACTTGCCACAAACTAGAACCACCTAAGTAGGAAGCCTCTCCTAAAGAAGTGTCCTGATTGCCTTGATTGATGTGGGGTCCCACTCATGTTGTGAGCCACACTTTCTGCTGGTAGTCCAGAAGGAGGGTCACCTTGCCCCTGTTCAACATGGCCTCCCTCTACTGAGTTAACCTGCCCTGTTGCTGATTCCCACACTGGTATCAGGACCAGTGTTTCTAAGCTTTCGTCGTGGACTAGAGACCAGCAGTTCCCCAGGAAACTACCAGTTGCTCCCACCCCAACTGAGAGCCAGCCGTTGTGGAAATATTCTGACTGCTGGGGCACTGAGTCTCAAGGACCAAGAAACTACGGGGTTCTTAGCTCTCAGGTTTACTGGTGTTACTATTTTAAACCTGACTCAATGTTTGTGTGTGTAACATACATAGTTTTACCCCATCAATTCCATCCCTCTAAGAGAACCCTTCTGTGACCTGGTAAGATGGCTAGAAGACACCCTCACCCTCCGTGCTGCAGCCCTTCCCTGATGTCGCCACAGGCCCAGTAAAATGCTTCTCTCAGCTGGTTTCTCTATATGTTAGCGGTTTTTCCTGTCCTGTGTCTAGCACAGCAAGCTGCTCAGGCAACATGAAGAAGCAACACAGACAGTGAGGGAGCAGCAAAGAGGCAAAGCTGAGCGGCTGACCAAAGTGGCGTGGGCAGGCTGCTCTGACAACTGAAGACGACACAGAGCTCCAAGGCTGGCAGCTGCCTCCCAAAGCAGGCAGGGAAGGACCAGGAGGGATGGTGATGGAGAGTGGGTGGAGGCCTGAGGCTGTAGAGAGTCAGAGAACAGGGAGGGATGTGGCAGCATTTGCCTGTGTAATCCCTGCACCTGGGAAGTAGAAGCAGGAGGATCGGGAGTTCAAAATCATCCTGGGCTACATAAGAAGCCTGAGATCCTATCTCAGAACAGATGGAAGAGTTTCAGAGAGCTATCAAGTGTTTAAGACCAAAGTTGTCAGGCACCCCAGGCCTGCAAAGTATAATACTGGTACTACCAAGGGCTGCTGGGAAGCTACCATGTCAACTGCTGCCTGACTTCCTAGGCCTACCCAAGAACTGGAACACAAAGTCGCACTATCAAAAGCCTACATGAAGTTATAACACTAGAGGGCGCCATCCACAGCATCTCCTATAGGCCAGCTGCTATCACCTCCAAGGAAACAGACCCAGCACTGGCACAGTAGGAGCTTCCCACCTATCACAACTCTCATGCAGAGAGAGCAAAAGGCTTCCAGCCAGATGACTGGGAGCATCTGAGGGTCGTTTGGTGGGGACCCCAAATACGCACTTTATTCAGGACATTTTATTCTGTCTCTCCTACTGGCAGGTATCCCCATTCCTCCCACCCTCACCACTGGAGAGGCCCTGAAGGCTCTGAGCAGCTGGGCTCACCTCGTAGGTGATGGCGTTCAGGTTCTGCTGCCCTGCACTGTGTTTGTTCTTCCCACTTTCCTTCCGCTGCTCCTTGAGATCTGTTAGCAGCTGGTACACCTAGGGAGAGACACAAAAGACATTGTCAGTGAAGCTGAGAGATGTGTTTCTCCAAGGTTCTAAAAGACAGTCAAGTTATGTCACTCTTCCCACAAACCTACTTCCCATGAGTTGGTCTAGATCAAGTATTTCATCCTAGAACTGTGCAGCATATTTCAGATGCTCTCTTAGCTAAACCAATTCAGAGCCTCCTCTATCTATCTATCTATCTATCTATCTATCTATCTATCTATCTATCTATCTATCTATCTACCTACCTACCTACCTACCTACCTACCTATCTATTGGTTTTTCGAGACTGAGTTTTTGAGTAGCTTTGGAGTCTGTCCTTGAACTTGCTCTGTAGACCAGGTTGGCCTTTAACTCCCGAGTGCTGGGATCAAAGGTGTGAGCATCCATTATTTAAAATATTGTAGAGAAAGCTCAGAGACTAAGAGCACTTGCTATTCTTGCAGAGGACCATCAGCCAGCTCACAATTACCTGTAACTCCAGGTCGAGGGGATGGCCTAGCCTGGCCTCTAGGGGCACAATATTTACATGTACATACCCCCACACAAACACACACATTAGAAATTAAAAATAAAACCCTTAAAATAGTAACTGTGAATACTAATTTAAAACGTGTATAGCCAAGCAGTGGTGGTGCACACCTTTAATCCCAGCACTCAGGAGATAGAGCCAGGTGGATCTCTGTGAGTTCAAGGCCAGCCTGGTCTATAAGAGCTATTTCCAGGTCAGGCTCCAAAGCCACAGCTCTCGAAAAACCAAACAAACAAAACCTTCTATCACAGGCCAGGGAGACAGCTCAGCTGGTAAAGGCACTTGCTGCCAAACACGGCAACCTGAGTTCGATCTCTGGACCCACACGGCAGAAGGAGAAAACAACTTCCACAAGCCCTCTGTTCTCCATGTCCATGTAGATACATATCACACAAATAAGTAAGATCTAATGTAAAAATTAAAAACATACATCATTAATCCCTTCTTATCTCAAGCTATTTATTATAACTATTTGAAAGTAGATTTTCCTAAATATTTTAAGAGGGCTCTGCTTAATATACAAGTCTAGTACAATAATTTCTTTCTATAACAGAAAGAACATGAGACAAATGATAAAACACAGCATCAAAAGAAAAGAGCTGAGAATATTGGTCAGTGGCAAACGATTTGCCTAATATGACAAAATCCCTGGATCCCCAGCATGCTGAGAAAAACAAAGGGGAAACGCTATGATTCTTAGAAGAAAACTTTCCCTGCAAAGGAAAAACACATACGCATCAGTGCTGGGCTGGAGGTGATTGGGACTTTACTCCTGTTTCTGAGATTCTACCAGAGATCTGAGGAAAATATAAGCTAGCAGGTATGTAACACCCACTTCCAACAGTCCCCCAACCCTACCACCTTTGGAAACCAGTAGCATAAGACCTAATGAACATGTTTCCCCAAAGAAACAAACACCCAAATACTGAGCAAAGGCCAATCAGTACAAAGTAGTTCCTAAAAATCAACGAATAGTTCCTTCCCAAGGCTAAGCCACAACCACTTAGGCAGGTCTTTAGTAAGCAATATAGCAGACTGAGTTGATTCTACACATACACAGCCCAGAATGGAGACCCAGATCCCCCGAGACTTTGGGTTTCACTGTGACATGGACACTGATAGGGAATTTATACACAGGCTCTTCTGCACCTGGAGCTGTCCCACCAGACTGCTTTGCCAGGACCAAACTAGACCCAGGCAAAGCAGAAGGCAGTAAAAATACTAGGATCTCCCTTCTCAGCAACTTCTTTCCTCTTTGTCTCCATCAGTCCGAATTTTAAAGCTGCTCACTCTTACTAAATTACTCAAAATAGTCAACTCAGTCTCAAAATGAGGGTATCAATCTCTGAGGCCCTTTGAAGATCCAAATGAAATAAAGGATGGTAATCAGGAAAGAACTAAGACTTTTTTTTCTTTTGTTTCTCTGTAGCTTTGGTTCCTGTCCTGGAACAAGCTCTTGTAGACCAGGCTGGCCTTGAACTCGCAGAGATCCGCCCGCCTCTGCCTCCGAAGTGCTGGAACTAAAGGTGACTAAGATTTTGATAGACCACAGTGGCTCTACAGCAGCAGCTCTTCCTCCTGTCTAATCCAGCGACAGACCCTGGGATTTACAGAAGGGCACTTAGGAACCAGAGCCTCCCCGCTTCCCTAAGGAACCATTCATAATTCACAAAACTCAGGCCATTCCAAGATCCGCCTGGGGCCACCTACCCTGTGTTAAAGTGGAAACTTCAAATGAGTTGTAATTTCTAAAGAAAACTAATCTTTCTTTAAACCAGGCAGTGACTGCGCACACCTTTAATCCCAGAAGCAAGTGGATCTCCAAGAGTTTGAGGTCAGCCTGTTCTACAAGAGCTAGTTCAGAACAGGCATCAAAGCTACAGAGAAACCCTATCTCAGAAAAAACAAAAAGAAAACTAACCCAACATCTTCACAAGCAAAGACAAAACCAAAAGAGGAAAATACAAACAGCCCGTGAGAGCCCTTACCTCATAGTTACTGAGCAGTGCCGCGTTTGCATCCTTCCTGCAAAGGAACAGTGAGCCATGTCAATCCACATCCATTACACGGTCTCAAGTGTCTAGAAAATAATCCCTTTAGTCGAGATCCAGCTACCTAGTTCAGGAACCGAGAACAATCTAACACTAGAAATGCCTTAAGTCCTGCCTGGGTTAGCGAGCCCTGCCTGGGTTAGCTAGTCCTGCATCAGCAAATTTCAGGTAGAAACAACTTTCCTTTCCTTTTAATATTTATTTACTTATGTTGTGTGTATGCCATGAGAGCTAAGAATGTTCTACATGGGTATGTAGATTTGCATGCCTGTGTGCACAGAAGGCACTGACCCCCTCAAAGCTGGAGTTACAGATGTTTGCAGGATACCTAGACTTGTCACATGGGTGCTAAGATCTAAATTCTGGTTCTCATTATGTAGCAAGCATTCTTAACCACTGAGCTATCTCTCCAGCCCCAAGGCTTTCCTTTTTTTTATATTTTTTTTTATATTTATTGAGCTCTACATTTTTCTCTGTTCCCCTCCCTTCCCTGCCTCTACCCTCCCCCTTCAACCCTCCCCCAAGGTCCCCATGTTCCCAATTTACTCAGGAGATCTTGTCTTTTTATACTTTCTACTCCCATGTAGATTATATCTATGTAAGTCTCTCTTAGAGTCCCCATTGTTGTCTAAGTTCTCTGGGATTATGGTTTGTAGGCTGGTTTTCTTTGTTTTATGTTTAAAAACCACCTATGAAGGGCTGGAGAGATGGCTTAGCCATTAAGAGCACTGACTCCTCTTCCAGAGGATCTGGGTTCAATTCCCAGCACCTACATGGCAGCTAAAAACTGTCTGTAACTCCAAGATCTAAAACTCACACATAGACATATGTGCAAGCAAAACATGAATGCACATAAAATAAAAATAAATAAATTTATTTTTTAAAAAACACCTATGGGGCTGGAGAGATGGATCAGTGGTTAAGAGCACTGGTTGCTCTTCCAGAGGTCCTGAGTTCAATTCCCAGCAACCACATGGTGGCTCACAACCATCTGTAATGAGATCTGGTGCCCTCTTCTGGTGTGTGGGCAGAATACATAATAAATAAAAGAATCATTTAAAAAAAAATAAAAACACCTATGACTGAGTACATGTGATAACTGTCTTTCTGTGTCTAAGTTACCTCACTGAAAATAATATTTTCTAGCTCCATCCATTTCACTGCAAAATTCAAGCTGTTGTTATTGTTTTTCTGCTGTGTAGTACTCCACTGTGTAAATGTACCACATTTTCCTTATCCATTCTTCGGTCGAGAGGCATTTAGGTTGTTTCCAGGTTCTGGCTATGACAAACAATGCTGCTATGAACATAGTTGAGCACATGTCCTTGTGGCACAATTGAGCATCCTTTGGATATATACCCAAAAGTGGTATTACTGGGTGTTGAGGAAGGCTGTTTCCTAATTTTCTGAGAAATCGACACACTGACATCTAAAGGGGTTGTACCAGCTTGCACTCCCACCAGCAATGCAGAAGTGTTCCCTTTTCCCCACAACCTCTCAGGCTTTCCTTTTTATAGACACAGCATATCATGTGCCCATTTCCCCACGGATGACTAAGATACACATTATCCCAAACCTGTGTGGACAGAAAGTTAGGTACAAGAACATGGAAGGTAACCCTCAAAGGAACCCCAACATAGAAGGGTCTGTAGGCAGCAAGAGCATTAGAAATGACTGAAGAAACAAGGTGCTGATTCATTCTTGGTGAACATCCTTCTCTCATTACAACCAATGGTTACTGGCATCTTGGACAACCTGAGTCCTGCCATGTTGACAGAAATGGCCTATGTACTTTTTTTTTTTTTTCGAGACAGGGTTTCTCCATAGCTTTTTGGTGCCTGTCCCGGAACTAGCTCTCGTAGATCAGGCTGGCCTCGAACTCCCAGAGATCCGCCTGCCTCTGCCTCCCGAGTGGCCTATGTACTTTTAACACAAACACTGTCACTAGAAACCCCAGAAAGGGTCAAGGATCCCATGAAAGTCACAGAGACGTCACATATTTAGTTGCTAAAAGCCTGGTTTCTCCCCTGCATAACAACTGATAAGCAAGCTGTTACTGCTCCTGTATGAACACGGCTACGGCACAAAATGACAACTGATCCACTCCACACTATCATATCAAAATATATCAGTAACGACTCAGATGACAACTGGCCCATCCCACACCGTGACAGCAGAGGACATATTGCTTTAAGCAGCCCAGAGTCAGCATACTATGACAATTAAAAGACAACTGAAACCAGACATACTGAGGTTCTGATTTCCTCTCTGCCAAGTTAAGATGTAGATTTTATTGGACCAATTTCTCCCCAAGCTTACCCCAGCTAAAACAAGATATGGGAACAATCTAGTGTAGCATGGACAATGGAGAGATGGCTCAGTGGTTAGGAGCTCTTCCTGCTCTTGTACAGTCCAGTTTCTAGCACTTACATCAGACAGCTCACAACTGCCTGTAACCTGTTCCAATACCCTCTTCCAGGTTCCAAGGGCACATGCACTCACATGGTACACAGACAAGCAAGCAGACATACATAAATATAAATATATTTATATATGTATATATACACACATATAAATCATTTATATATGTATACACTTCATTTATATATAAATGTATATATTTATGTATATAAATGCATATATATATATAAATGAAGTGTGACCTGATTCTAAACCCCATTATGTCTGTCATTGGCTGTGTGTATTTTCTAAAGTGATTTCATCTCTACAATTAAATCTTCACATTTACAACATGGAAATTATACTATACACCTCTGTAAGATTATATACAGGATTAAATTTTATACACCTTTGTAAGATTATATACAGGATTAAATATAAAGATATAGGTAGAACATTGCAAGTGCTTAGAATATGATTATCATTACTTTCATCTGTGCAGCTAAATGTCTTACTTCATGAAGATTTTCCATTCTGTTGAAATGAGACAGCAGATTTGAGGATTAGAACCTCCACGAATGGAAGCCAGTATTTAAAAAAGACTTCAGACTGAAGAGATGGCTCAATGATTAGGAGCACTAGCTAACTGCTCTTTCACAAGACCTGGGCTTGATTCATGGCATCCACATGGTGGTTCAATCATTTGTAACTCCAATCATGAGGGAATTAGCCCTCATCTGACCTCCAAAGTCACCAGGCATGCACATGATATACAGACATAGAAGTAGACAAAACACCTATGAGCATAAAATAAATTTTAAAAAAAGATTATGTCAACTCTCACTAAAAGCCCTCCAGTGCAGGGGCCTATCAATACGATTCCAACTTTTAGATGACAAAGCTCAGGCTCGGAGAGTAAAGTAACTTGCCATACAGTAAGAAGTTCCATGAACTGGAAAATAATGATGACTATGAAAAATGAGAGTAGACTAGGTGAAGGGAAACTAGAACAGAATCTAAAAATCCAGGTAGAGCAGTCTGGAGCGGACAAACAGGCAACAAGAACCACTGTGCGGTCTGTCGCCGGGAGTGGACCTGAACGGTGAAAATGACAGCGCAGAATTTCAAAACCATGGCGTGAGATGGCTGCTTTCCCCAGTCAACAATTACAGCGGAGCTCTTCCACAGCTAACACGGGTCAACAAGGCAACAGCACAGTGATGTCAGCACAGAAATCAAATCGGTGAGCAGCGCCTGGTCAAATGCTCCTGGTAATTCAGCAAACGCTACAATTGCACAAATCTCCTGCTTCATCCCGAGGACACTAAATCCAAGGCAGGGTATTATATTTAGAAAGAATCTAACACAAGAGAAATAGTGCAGGGCTCAGCTGGCAGAATGCTTGCCTAGCAAGGACAAGGGCTTTGGTTCCATATCTAGCACCAAATAGACCAGGCATGGTGGCCTGTAATCAGAGGAAAAAATATCAGAAGTCTAATGTCATCCTCAGCTATACAGCGAGTTTAAGGCCAAACTGAGTTAAATGAGAGCCTTTTAAAAAACTAAACAGACAAATCAAATCATGTCTACTGAATCAGGAAATCAGCCCACAGAGCTTCCTACTGGTTGAAATTGAGTTACAGTTCCCTTGCTCTCAGAGGAACACTGCGCCTGTGATATATCACTTCAAGGTGAATAGCAATGGATCCATTCCCAGCGTCACTGCTATATATTTCCAAATCACAAACCACTCTGTGGTCATGCACTGAGAAATTCCAAGTCACTGCCCAACAACTTGAGTCAATATTGTACAACAAAATCAGGGGCAAGATGGTGAATACTTGTAAGCACAACACTGATGGATGGGGAAAGATGACACTGGCTACATGGGAGACCCTGTCTCAAACACGAATACACACCAACACTCTCTAGGAAACAGATGTAAGAATCCAAAAAACATCATCCGCCTTTTCTAGCATGAGAGAGAGGGAGAGAACTGGGAATTCTCTTTCACATACAATTTGAAAAAATGGAGAGCTGGGTCAAGCTGGGGTCAAGCTGGGGGTCCGACACAGATTAAGCAAGAACTCCACCACCAACCTACGCAGTCCCTCAGGGACATTAATGAGTCTGCTTGAGGATCAGGAGAACAAGGCAGACACGCATCTTGAAGACTCTGGCTGGCAGAAACCAATTAATTCCTGGAACTCACTCTGTAGACCAGGCTGGCCTCGAACTCACAGAGATCCACCTGTCTGCCTCCCGAAAGCTGGGATCAAAGGCATGGGCCACCACCACCACCCGGCTAGTTTCCATTTCTTTTTGGTTTTTTTAGGGGGGAGGGGGGGCAGTATCTCACTATGGCCTTTATACTCATGATTCCCCTGCCTCAGGCAGGCATCTGAGTGCTAAGAATGTAGTTGTGTACCACCAGATCTGGTTGATTTTAAGACCCAGCTCTCAGCTATTCAGATTAAATGCCAATATATTCTAGGCATAATTTCATCTAATAGAAAGCCAATGAGAGACCAGGATACAGTTCAGTTTGTGAGCATGTGTTTAGAATGCAATCCC